AGACGGGAATTCCATGCAGAAATACGTGGCTTTATATTCCTCTCGGCCATTTGTTTTTTGACTTACTCTTTTAGAGTCCTAAGTATTTCTTTAAATAATGGTCACTGTTTCACATAAATAGGAGTGGTGGCTATGAGTTTAAAGGATTGTAGCCCATTTTGAACATCATATTTTTGGCAGCTGAGGAAATATGAGGAATGTTTAAAAAAGCAGCAAATTGTTGTGAAAGATCTTGTTCCCAAAAATTAATATTGATAGGAACAATATAAAAATAAAAAAAAACACTTGACCTTGTTAACCTTTAGGACCGACACAGGTTAAAGGTTCTACATCTTGATAAACCACAGAAGCAGCACCCAAGCCAGTGAGTATAACTGCAACTTGTCTTTTTTCCTATTGTATAGGCCTCTAATTTAAACAAATAATAGACATATTTACCACCGTATCAATTAACCCTTTAAAAACTATTTCATTAATGTGCAATGAACATAAGGGCTTTTGATTAGAAACTAAAGTTTCCCAAAAAACAGTTTTTTCTGTGCTACCAAACCCTCCCTATTGAGAATACATTCCCCTGCCTCTAGGCATATAAATTGTGAGACTTAAACCATAATAAGACTTTTATTAGTAACATTATGTCCTTTTGGCAAAGGGCCACACTCTCTAATAGCTAATTTATATACTCCTCTATTAGGAGACAAAGTATAAGGCTGAGTAATAACTAAGTCAGCAGCGGCGCTCTGCTTAGTTGCCACATAAAGCTGAGAAACTGGGGTAAGGTGTGGGATCCTTAAGGAGGACTTGAATTTATTCCTTGATGTTGTAGGCCATTGCTCACTGGGTATTGTATGCAGATTTAGTCAATAACAAATATTTGTAAACAAATAAGGTGATTACAGGTACAGAAATTCAGTTCGTAGTTTACTATTCAATAGAGTATCTGCTTTGTAAAAGATGGTGGACCACAAAATACTCAACGGATTTTGGTTTTCAAAACACAATGATGCTATCCAAGGCTAAATGGATACTTGAAATTGGGATTGGATCTGGTGCTGAGATACAACTTTTACTTAGTTATTGATTTTTCTTTCCTCCGATTATTCCAAGGAGGGTGACTACCATTTTTGTACTTTATAGAGCAGTCTAGAGGAAAGGGTTAAGCATGTAAGCTCTGGGGACAGAAAGTCATATTTTCAAAATATAATAGCTATATGACCTTGGATATATTTATAAAACTGTCTTAACTCTGTTTTCCTGTCTACAAAATGGTAATAATTATAAAATTTGTCAGTCTTAAAGGGATGTTGGAAGAACTAAATGCAAGTGAAGATTTTTTCACAGTAGTAGACACATAGTAAGTACTCAGTATACTATGGCTATTATTACTGTTATTATTGTTAATATTACGTCTATTAATTTTAGCTCTTTAATGTAACAAGTGCAGAACCATAATCTCACATCCTTCAGAGTCATGCTGATCTTGTATTTTTTGGTCCTTGGACTAGTTTAGTGATTTATTACAAGAAACCTAGTTAGTTTGTGCATTCTTTTCCTTTCTTATATTTCTCATTTGTAAAGACTGATAAACCAACTACACTTTCAGACCTGGTGACATAAATTGTTGGGGCCCCAAGCCTGTGGGTTGTTCCTCAGTGGCTCCTGGGGGATCACACATAACATTTTTTCTAGCCTGTACATGCGCCTTGTTCATTTACCAGCTGTGCAATTGTAACCACTGAGAATGATCAAGAAAAGCCTTCCCCAAAGTCTTCCAGTCTATAGAAATTATCAAATTTTCTGATGAAAAAATATCAAGAAGACCAAGGATAGGGGTTCATAGTTAGAAATGGCAGCTTTCATTTCTTTTTAAAAATTTAATTTGTAAGGCATTAAATTGGACATTATTGCCACCATTTGAAAACTAAGCATTAGGAGCAAAAGAAGCACAAATAATTGGAAACAGATCCAGCTCCTTAAAATTTTTTTTTTTTTTTTTTTTTTACGAGACATTTTTTTTTTTTTAATTCACAAAATGATACATGTTAACTCTAAGCTGGAAAACACGGATCACTAAGTGATTTTGTGCAAAGCAAACAACAAAATCATTAACACAGAAGTTATACCAAAAATGCAAAGGAGCTTCCCACCTCTGCACAAAACAACAAAAGCCCAAAAGTTGTTAGGCTGAGACATTTCAAAGTAAATTATTTTATGACCTCAAGAAAAAGATCATATCAAAGCTATTTTATCAGTTCCAGGAAAGTTTCCAAAATGTTTAATCAAGTCAGCATAAAAAGGATACCAAAATCTAGGAGAAAGCGCGTAATAAAATAAAATGCTGCAAAACACAGTTCATCCTCAGTTATATCAGTGAAATATCCTAAATTAAAGACTTGCCGATAGAATGCAGCAAAAACAGAGACAGAGCAAGAAAGGACGCCGAGCAGGAGCCCGAGGTTCATGGTAAGAAAACAAGTGGCTGAGCAGCTGGAGAGAAAGCAGCCCAGGGGATTCGGCCACATGTCGTGCGGTCGACCCTGCGGCAGGGACCCGCCAGGCTGCCCGCCCCTCAGCGCCTCAGTCCCTCAGCCCCCTCAGCCGTCTCAGCCTGTTGGGGGCACTGAGAAAACTTTGCCAAACAAAGGTAAAGATAAGGAAGCCCGGGGGTTGGAGGCACTGGAAAATTCTCTTTTAACAGTGCAGAAGGAAAAGAAACAGGGAAAGCTCACAAAGGTGAATTAGAAGAATGTATCTGTAATATTTGTTGAAGCATTTCCATAATACACTGCATGTCAGAATTTCCCTTAGAAGAAAGAAGAGCTGGCTTTTTCTCTTCTCCCCCTTTTGCTACCCTGGCACAAATGGGCTCCATTTCAGATTTATTTTATTTTATTTTATTTTTCCAAATCCTCAGATACCTTTCCTCCTGTGGCTACATTACCACACTCCGAATCAGTCTCAAGTAACTCTAATGTCTGAGTGATAGACTTACACAAGGTCCACAATTTTAGAGGCATAATATCCCCTAACTGGAGAGCTCTAAGCAAAGCTTTTACTACCTGTAACCATTTTTTCCGATTCAGCTGCACTTTAGTCTGATACTGAAACCAGTAACAATGTTATTCAACAGGGGCAAACAATCGCTTCAAAGTCTTTTTCTTTCACTTCTACTCCCATAGACAGCAACAGTCCTTGAAACAGCCATAAATATTCTGAGGCCAGAGAGATGGAATGCCCATAATGAAAGCTTAAGAAGGTTCCCCTTAACAATATCTGAGCCTTACCTGCTCCTAGGGGGTTCCCCTTCTTGTTCTCCCCTACTCACCCGTGCTGACCCTGCTCGCTGCGCCACTTGTTGGGGGCCGCACCGGGGGTGGTGGAGAATGAAAGAACACACACAAGACAAAGACACACAGAGAACATGGCGGCCGCACTCAGAGCCTCCGCCTCACTTTATTTATACTGCATAAACCTCAGGTCAGCAGAAAGAATGCAATGCAAAACAAACTTTCTTTTCCCACATGTAACCTTCTACTCAGTACCTTGTTTCTATATTCTTTCTTATCTACCCGCCTTCTTGGCGCCTACGGGAGTTCATTAAAAGTTCAGTTGGAGATACTGTCCTTGAGCCCTATCTATTCTCAGCATACTCTTTTCAAGGCCCCTGCACCCGTCTCTAGTAAAAATAGAAAAATTAGTCGAGCGTGGTAGTGCCTGTCTGTAATCCCAGCTACTCAGGAGACAGAGGCAGGAGAATCACTTGAACCCAGGAGGTGGAGGTTGCAGTGAGCCGAGATCGCGCCACTGCACTCCAGCCTGGGCAACAGAGTAAGAGTCTGTCTCAAAAAAAAAACAAAAAACAAAAAACAAAAAACAAAACCCGAAAACAAACAAACAAACAAACAAACCAAAAACGTTCAAATCCTTAACATGGAAAAGAATTTTCAAAATCAACATACAAACCACAAACTGGAGAAAATACTGAATAAAATATCAAGAAAGTGTTAATCTTACAGTATAAAGAATCCACAAAGTCACTGAGAAAAATGCTAAGCCCTAGAGATAATAGACAATAGATAATTGTCCATTACCTACCAAATACAATAGGGAATTCTTAGAGCAGTAATTATAACCGGCACACAAATAGGTTAAAATTATTTAAAAGAATTACAAATCAAAAAATGTAAATGAAAAATTAACCAGAAACATATGTTTTCAGCTTTTGGAGAAAGTCATAATAAAGGTCAACAAAAGAGAAAGTGAGGTAAGTTGTGTAGTTATATATACTACTACATATAAAAGAATAATACGTAACTACTAGAAAACTTTTAGCATTATAATAAAATAATAACAATGTGTTAAAACTTTAATGCAAGAAGTTAGTTTCACAATCATTTCAGCTATGTAAAAATATACACACTAAGAAAACAAACAAAAAAAGAAATTTAGACCTAAATAAGCTTCAGAATTGCCTCAGAGGTCTCCTCCGTTCTCCTGGAAGTTAATCTAATGCTTTTGCAAACAAACACCATGCACTTTTATTTCAGAGATTACATGAAGGGTGTGTGCCAGGGACAGTCTGGAACTGGCCCCCTCACATTATCCCGAACCTTCCATACTCCTCAGCTCTCCTCCCCTAAACCTTCACCCCAACCACATACTCCTTACACTTCCCTTCCCTGCATCTCTAAGGACCCAGGACAATCAAGGTCTCCTCTCTGTCCAGCCACCTGCTCCCACCTCCCATGTCACCTCCCCACAGAGGCCTCCAACGATAAGAAGAAGACCGCTCCTGCCTCCCCTCCCACAACGGCCACACAGACACAGATAAATCCACACTCTACACACACCTGTGCTCTCAGAACTGCTTGCTCGGGATTGAGAGGATTCTAAATGGTCACAGATGACTCTCTCTCTCTCTCTCTCTCTCTCTCTCTCTCTCTCTCTCTCGCAGACTCCCAGCTCACTGGGACTCAGGCCCCGCCCCCTGCCGCTCTCACCTCATCGCTGCTCTGTGAAGCTCTCAAAAACCCCGTAATTGTATCTGCAGTAGGTGTCCACCTTGTCCCGCTTCTCCTCCAGGATGCCCTTCTGGCTGTTCCACTTCTCCGCGACAGGTCGCCCCAGTTGCGTCACCGCCTGGAACTCCCCCAGGTCGCTATGGAAGCGCAGGTTCTCCTCCCGTTTATGGATGTATCTGTTCAGGTACTGCACCCGCTCAGTCCCATTGAAGATATGACACTCACACTTAGCCTGCTCCAAGAAACCTGCTGTGGGGACACGAACGATCCAGTCACAGGGATGGCCTCCGAGGAAGACACTGACACCGACGCCGCCATCCAGGGCTCCCTGGGCTGGGCGCGGGCGCTGGGAACCTTGATCCGCCCCACCTGCAACCCTGACCACGCACAGCCCAGGGGCTCATCCTCTGTCTTCCCGAGGCGTACGGGGTTTGGGGGACCAGGCGGGAAAACTACCACTGATTCCAAGGCTTTTGGGATCCCCTCCCTGCCTCCAGCCTGTTCTGGAGACCTCCAAGCAGGAGCTGGAGGAGGGTCTGTCAAGCACCGCAGCCCGCGCTGCCTCCTCCTGGGAGCCTCCACCCCAAAGACACTCTCTGCTCCTTCTCTCATCCCACAGGCTTTACCCCTCCTTAAATAGCACCCATCGCCTTCATCTTGTGAACACTTCCTTAGTGCTGACCTTGTGCCTGGCCTGCGCTGCCTCTAGGAATCCAAAAAAGGGAAAACAGACCTCTCTACCCCAATGGGGAGTTTAAAGAGCAGTGAAAGCGATGGCCAAAAACAAACACACAAGCGCTTAGACAGGAATGAGAAATGTCCGAAGTGGGGAGTTCTAGAGCAGAGAATAACAGGATGATCTCAATTACATTAGGGTGCCAGAGAAGGACCCTCTGAAGAGTGACAGTTCAGATGGGACTTGACAGGTTAAGCAGTTGTGAGCCAGGGGCAGAGTGGAGCCTGTGTGTCTTTGGACAAAACGGGGGAGACACATTTCAGGTTTAGGAAATCCCATAGACAAAAGCTTGAATTGATGAACTTCTTCAAGAAACTAGAACAAAGTTCACTAAAGCAGAGAGGCTGAGGGGAAGGAGAGTAAAAGATTAGCCTGGAGAAATCACAAGAAGCCAGGTATTAAGAGTCTCGTGGATGGCGTTAGGATTTTGGATTTATACTAAAGACAATGGGAAAGTATCAAAGAGTTTTAAGGAGAATAAAACCATGATCCCTGTAAATGTTCACAAACCTTCCTTTGCATTTCTAAATCCACAAAGCTCAGAAATTCAGTTAAAAGAAATTTGTTCCCAAAACTCATTTGTCAAATCTCATCTGATGAGGGTAAGTGGTCAGAGGTGTCTCAGAGCTCTTATTGGTGACATGTCTTCTGTAGTTTCAATATAGATAAACATACATACATATATATGTGGAAATATACACATATGCAAAACACTTTGTATATACGCTTGATGTTTTGTCTTTATGTTTTATTGAAGTGTGAAAATGACAAAAATCACTTAAAAATAATCCTGTGGGTAAAAGTGAAATGAATAAATAGGAGCATTTTACATTGTGAATAATATCAAAAGTAGAATCACTACAGATATCTGAGTCATGTTAGTGAAAAATAATTGCAGCGGCATCACTATTTGTGACTTACAAGGGCAAACTGTTGAAAGTTAATAGAGATAGTGATGACCAACAACTCATGAAAATGTTGAAAAATATCGCATAAGGCAAAAAATAAATATGAAGGTATTGATCTTGCATTGACTAAATTGCCACGGTCCCTGTTGGACTGAACCAAGGAGGATAAACAGGGGAATAAAGACAAAAGACAGAAGAGTATATTTGGAAGAAGGGGTCAGGGGGCACCTTGCTCTTAGTGAACAAGGACCCTGAGGTTTGAGCTCCCTTCATATTTACTGAAAAGAGATAGCGAGAAGGGGGTGTGTGTCAGTCTGCGGCTTGATCCAGAGCAGGCTTGTAAGACTGCATTCCTCGAACAGTAGGCTCTAGATGTCCCAGGAGATAATGTCAAGGAGCCTGGCATCAGGGAGTGATTGCCCTCAGCAAACCTTCTGGCGCCGGCACAGAAGCAAGTTTGTCCACATTCTGTATTCATGATAAACAGTTTGCTGTTTGACCATATAGCCTCTGGGGAATGCTGAGTTGGTCACGATTCTCCAGCCTCCAGCTCTCTACATTTCCCTCTTTCTGTTCATGTATTAATTGAAAGAATGTAAGGCCAGGTTGGGCAGCTCTCATTTTCCGATTGGTGGTCCATCCAGTTTTACAGACTATGAACAGAAGACAGAGACAAAATAACATTATTCCCAGAATTACATGTGAGATGTTAAGGTAGTATTTTAGGTAGGTCCAAGGATTGAGGCTCTCCAGGCCTTGCTGGAATTCAGTCCAGGCTTGTAAAGAAAGCTGAAATTCTTGAGTTTGCTTATTTAAGTCAAGAATTTTGTTTTGTAATTCACCAATATCAAAGGTGATGTCGGATGTGAAAGCTCCCCGCAAATACTTTCACAAGGTCCCATGGTTACTCACTTTGGTTATATTCTAAGTTGGTTACACAAATATGAGTGTCATTAAAATGACAGTGCAATTGCTGCTGCAACTCTAAGCTTTGTACTTGTTCTCCTAACCATAGAATCGTGGATTTCAACATTACCACTTCAGTTTGTAACTCAGTGTTAATTTTATTCTGAAGTAGCCACGCTTGATCAGTCATATGCTTCCAGTTCTCCATGTAATAAGCTGTTTGAATAGAACTGTGTAAAGCTACAGAGGACATCACAATAGAAGTTATTAGTGTGACCAAGGAAACAAGAGCAAAAATTATCATGCCTAAGGCTCTACAGGCATGATGAGTAAGCTGAGTTAGAAAAAGTTTCACATAATGCAAAGCAGGTGTGGCAGCCTAAGGCTTGGACAGACTAACGAGAGTCCATAGTCCAGGGATGCGACCCAAAATTATCAAGGTAGAGATATTATGTGTTTGCAAAGTGCTATGGTTAATGCAGTGATATAACTGGCAAGATTTACAGGTGAAAACACAAACCGTAAATTGAGTGGTGATATTTCCTACAAATGTAACATTAAAACTGTGTCGCTTACTATTGCTATTATTGGATAGTATCCCAACCCAGATGCTGCCATTTATAAATGGGAGTGCTGCCTTCCATAACATCTCTTGGATTGGTCCTTTCCTCCCTAGATAATGCCACTGAGGAAGAGGCAGGCTAAAGGCTGCTCCATGCCAAGCAATCTGGGCTGCAGAATGGGATTGGATCCTGGTGTGGTATAAAGAAGAAGGATTATGAGCTTGCCACCAATGCCAGGGAAGTTTGTGCCATGATTTCTGGTTAATAGCTTTTCCATCTAGTTGACCTTTAGGTCCTCAATCCACAAAATCTCCAGTTAACATAGATTGTTTTTTAGCCAGTGGGCCAAGACACTGGGTCCACAGACGGGGATAGGAACTATCGAAGGGAATCCATTCCATATGGTCAGCACAATTAGGGCGACTGGCCTGGGAATGGTTGGTTAGCACAGCAATTACATTAATAGAACCAAGACTTAACAAGTACAAGATTTTTCCATAGTGACTCAACCATGTTTGAGCTGGAATTATAAGACAGCTATGACGGAGCGACGTCTTTGCGGTGATACACAAAGGGGTCCTTCCAGTGGAGCAGTATAATTGATGACATTGTTCTGAGAGTCTAACTGTTCTATGTCAGGGGGAGTTAGGGGTCCTGGAGTCCATACTCCCTGATCATGATAGATCTCAGAAGGAGTGTCACTCCAGAATATAGGCCATACTGCTGGGGGATTGGGAATATATGCCCATTATATTTTTGCCTCTGCACAAGGAAAACATACCACACAAGACATTATGGCTATCATAGCCAAGAATGTAGAATCAGGGGGTTTTGCCTGTCCCTGATGCTCCAGTAGTTTCTTAACTTCCTGCATGATTTTCCTGAGTTGCCCCCAGTTTATGGGGGTTGATGTAATTGTGACTCTGATCAGCCTTCCCTCTGTCTTCTACTGAGGCTCAGCTGGCTCATGGCTCATAATGGAGGGACTGGACCCATTGTTGGCCACCCTGGGCTCCTCCAGTCTCCTGTTCCATGGCCGCACATACCTTTAAGGCACCCACACAGTTTGTCCATCTCCTGTAAAAGCACAAGCATACCCTCGTCCCCATGTCAGTAAATCCACCAGACTTTTCCATTGTCCTTTTTCTGGGGATTTCCATAACACTTTCGGAAAACCTCTCCTCTTTTTCTCAGTGGCCAACGGTGGCCAATGTCTTTCTGCTGCAGTCTTACCATCCATACCAGCCGTCAAAAAATTTAAAGTAAATAAGGCTAAATGTAACTTTGATTGCACTGGTAACTTGTCTCCTACTCCTCCTTTTTGTCTTTCCAACATGCGTTGTAATGTTTGATGTGCCCGCTCTATAATGTCTTGTCCTCTAGGATTATAAGGAATTCCTCTTTTATGGGTTATAGCCCAAAGCTGTAGGAAATTTTGAAAAGCATAACTAGTATAAGCAGGTCCATTGTCAGTTTTTAATTGTTTAGGTATCCCTACATGAGCAAATGACGACAGACAATGTTGCCGCACATGACCAGCTGTCCCGCCTGTTTGACATGTAGCATGCAGCATATGTGAATAAGTGTCTATAGGCACATGAAGCTTACCAAAGGCTGCTATGTGTGTAATATCCATTTGCCAAATTTCATTTGGAGCCAAGCCTCGTGGATTACATCCTTCTACAGGTGTGGCTCCAGGGACATGCTGGCAAGTAGGACAAGCTTGTATTATAGACCTAGCTTGGCTGTAAGACAAGCTAAACATACAAGTAAGGGCAGAGGTGTTTTGATGCAGTAATACATGAGAGACTTGAGCTTGCTGAAACACAGAACCAGTCAATGTATCTGCTCTATCATTACCTAGAGATTGTGCTCCAGAAAGTTGTGTGTGAGAGCGAATATGAGAAATATGAAAAGGAGCTGCACAACAGCCAATAGTTTGTTGAAGTCTTAGGAACAAATTAAGCAGTTCTGGTTCTAGTGTACTTTTAATTGTAGCAGTTTCTATGCGACTGGCTACATGTACAACATAAGATGAATCACAGCCAATGTTGATAAGATCTGAAGCTGTGAGCTATAAAACCTGAATGATGGCAATCAACTCTGAGCTTTGAGCTGAAACCCAGGAGGTCATTA